TTACCTGACCAAATCAATATCCCAGAAGTTTAATTAACTTGATGCTATACTCTGATTACAAAGTGTTCCTTTAATTTTTTTTGAGTAGTGTATATTATAACAGTTCAGTCTAAGAGTTTGGTTTTCATCAGGAAGAATCTCGTTTTTGATAGGGTTAATAATCATAACCACTTATTGTCCTAGAAATGAAAACCAAACAAAGCGATTATTCTTTTCTTTCTGTAGAAAAGAGAGAGAGAGAACAGACCAAGGGTGAGACCCCTTGTAAAGTCTGTACTCAACTCTGCCCAAACCTCTCTTTTCTGCTGCTTTTATTATTGGACTTCAAAGGAATTAAAGGAGTGGTCAAAAGTTACCAGGAGGGGTCTGATGTTCTCAGGAGGGGTCAGAAGTTATCAGTTACCTACGACTGCATAGCTGAATAATGCCAGGCCCTGAGAAAAATATTTGCTCTCCTAATTTAGAACAATACTTTACATTGTTCTACGATATACATTTTTCTAACAGTTTTAGTGACCTACGAATGAACCAACAGAGAGTACAGTGTTTTTAATAAATGTCAAAACGGTCTGCTATGACCCACTTCATAGAAACATACACATTAACTCCAGCAACAATCTTCTCTTTGGCCATCTTCCTCTCCTTTGCAGCTGTAGTGCTGTTTCTCTGTCTTTTGAACACATTTGCCATTTTTTCTTCATAGCAGCCATTGTGAAACTGAAAACTCAGAGTTCTGACCTTATTCCGAATTTGATAATTATTTATAGTGGTTTGCCCCGTTTGAATGCCATGGTGGATGTAGGGAAATATAGAGGTGTGAATTACACACCACAGTTCTCGCCACTGCTTTATCACTCTTATAAGGACTTTTAAACTTGTCATGATTCTTCTTTTTAACTCCTTGTGATGGCAAACTTTATGAATAAATTTGCAACTGGTAATAAAGGGCCCTTGTTTTTCATGATGGTGCAATCACATTTATGATAATATACAGTGCTAAAAGTAATCTCACTCCTTAAACATATTTCTCATCTTTAGTCACAATAGAACCCTACACTTCGTTGTATTTTATTGGGACCTTATCTAATGAAACATCACAAAGAAATGCATAATTGTAAAGTGGAACAAAATCATAAGGCTGCATGTGAAAATCAATTGTGATTTTTAAAAAAATACCAAAAACACTCACATGGTATGTTTACCTTATTACTCCACTTAATCTGACAGGCTGACAAAGAAAGCATAAATCAAAGTGGTAGACAAATTACATGTTTCTGGAGGAGCTGCAGAGTTCTAAAGCTTTGGCAAAAAAAATTTTAGAAATTCAGTTTACAAAATAAATTTCCATTAGTCTTAAATATTTGCCTTTATTGGAGTTGCAAAGGACATCTATTGTTGAACAGCCATGGGAAGTACTGTTTTTAATCTGCTACAAGCCTTTTAGGGATCACAATGAACACTTGGAAGTAACAGTAACATTTAAAAACCTGAACTCTTTGGCATAAATGTAAAAATAGCAATTGTGTGTTTGAGGTGTTCAAACATCATTCTGAACAAACCAAGAACGACACGCTGTGAGGAAGCTTTTCTCTCATTCTTCTATTACTGCCTTTAATATGCATTATTTACAGTGACAGCCAGCATTAACTTTAATTTTATGGTGGGTTTTCAACATAAAGAAGATCTGAACGAGTGCTTCTGTGTTTGTGTTTGATCTTTGATTTCCTCCTTATGCCAATCCCTGCTTGCTTTTCTTCTCTGAATCTAAATCTTCTTGATATTAATGCCTTGTAATAAAGTAAACTACTTTTTGTCCTCAGGGATCAACAACAATAAAAGTGCAATATAAAAAGGGTAGGCAATACTGACTTCTTCACGTTACCAGTCCTTTTAGTGTAAGACAGTGCGAATTTGTAAGTGTGTGCTACTACAAACGTCCATACTTCCCGGGACATATCCGTATTTCACGTCCTGTCCCGGGCGTCCCGGGTTTTTTTTAGAAAGTGAGGAAATGTCCTGATTTTTCAAATTACCTT